AAAAAAGTAGCAGTTCTGTGGGTCTCACACCCTCTCCTGACCTTTGCTGGTACCAGGGCAGACACAAAACAAAAGCTTTAAATCTTTCAGTGTTTCTTCAGAGTATCTCAAATCAAATACACTTACATTATAGAAGAGAAGTCTTTCCACATAAACAAAGACAAAGACTTAAGTTTATTAAGTCATCTACCCAGAGGTAAACCTCCCGGATTGCTATGTGTGCTCGTGAAATCCAGTGCACGGCTAAAAAATAAAAAAAAAAATAAAAAAATTCAATACAAGCCGCATGAGAAAATGAAGCTAAGGACATAGTCTCAAAAAACTACTTTCAGTGACATAGTAAATGGGGTGAGAGGGGGAGAAATGTTACCACAGTCCTAAATATGTTAAATAAAGGTGGTATTTTATGAAGAGATGAAATATGCTTATGGCTGGCGTCATAAGACTTCCATGTGGCTCGTGATTTCTTGTTTAGTTGTGAGGAAGAGGAGGGTGAGGAAGGAGGGGAAGGAGGGGCTGAAGCCAGGCTGGAAGTTACACTGCCTACGAGGGCTGCCGTTCGCACTGGGCTGGCTGACAGATGTGGGCAGTACACACCTGGCTGTGTTTTGAACTTCCCTACGGAGCTGAAGGTGGGAGTCACTTTTTGTGGTCACCTCACACTCGTTCCAATTAAAACTACGTGCATAACACGTAAAATCTGAGAAAGGGTAAAGTCTGTCCCCTGATGCATCGGCCAGGACAAACTGCCTTCCCAAAGCAGGCACTACAATGGAACTGACTCTGAAGAGAATGCTTTGCTCCAATAAAAAAGGCAACATTGGCTTCCCACAGCTGTAGGTTTTCTGGGTATCCCTATGCTGTATATGTTAAAAAGGCTAGGCGGTGGTGGCGCACACCTTCAATCCCAATGCTCGGGAGGCAGAGGCAGGCGGATCTCGGTGAGTTCAAGACCAGCCTGGTCTACAGAGCTAGTTCCAGGACAGGCTCCAAAGCTACAGAGAAACCCTGCCTAGAAAAAAAAAACCAAAGGCAGAGAAGCTACAGCTGAGAGTAGCCACAGTTCACATGACTGGAAACAAAGTTGCAGACACCACATCCCACTGCGGGGCTGACGACAGGATTAGGTTTTATCAATGCCAATTTTCTGCACTGGTCACATTCCCATTAAGAAGTCCATACTGCTTTTAAAAGGCAGAAAAGAGGTCTCCATGGGCAAAAGCCTCTCACTGCACACACCTGGGAGCCAAGTTCCACCCCAGCATCCCAGAGAGGGGTGGGAAGAGGACACCGTGAAGTTGCTCACACTGTGGTGATGCAGCCTCCTGGCCTCCTGGCTCTAACCCCTGGAACCCACAGAGCGGTGGAAGGAGAGGCAACTCTACAGAGATGCCCTCTGACCTTCCTAGGCTCGCGCTGGCACACGCACCCAGCCACGCTCCTGCCACATATGCACACAAACAAGAGCACATTAATTAATTAAAGTCTGAAACAATCGTGAGTGAGGATCAGCACCTACATTCTCAGAAGCTGGAGAAAACCGTAAGAGAAGGAAAGTTACGTTAACTACAGACGTGGTAGGTGAGGCCTGCGGGCTTTCTCTTACAGCACGATTTCTGGTCACTGACTGAACTGAAGCCCTTTTCTCTACAGGTAAAAAGCCCCCTGAGTTGTTACCAGGCTGACTGGATAACAGGCATGCAGGGGCCTTACACACGGGTACACCTACTTATGTAACTCGCATAGGAAGAGTGTTAAGAATTATTTATTAGCTGGGTGGTAGTGATACTCCCCTTTAATCCCAGCACGTGGGAGGCAAAAAAGCAGGGGAATCTCTGTGAGTTTGAGGCCAACCTGTGTCTACAAAGGGAGTTTCAGGACAGTCACGGCTCTACAGGAGTTCCAGGACAGCCTCGAACCTCCCCACCCCCCCACCCCCCGCCATCCTAAAAGAATTATTTACTAGTAAACAGCCAATACGAAACCAAACATGCTCTGAACACCCAGGGAGTCGCTACAACAGTGAAGAGGAAAGCCTTACTACCTGTTGACTGCATTCCCATTCCACGTTCAACTGCAAGCAGCCCGATACAACCTAGACAGCATCGAACACTGGGAAAGCGAAAACCCACAAACGCCAGCCGTTGTCCCATCTTCCCCCAAACTGAGTATCAGAAATGTCCCAGTCTTCATCTCCACACGTGAAATTTAAAATGAAAAGCTAGCCAAGCGTGTACAGGAATTTCTAGATGACCAATCAGGAGTCTAGGCGCCGCATGGCCAGCCTGAAGCTTCATGGAGCTAAAAACCTGCACTCTCAACATTCGGAGGAGACAAGTGGCGTGCAGGCAGTGAGAGAGAAGAGCACGCGGGGCCAGAGACTGGAAACCCCTAGAGACTTCCCCGCGTCAGCGCCAACTGTGCGTCCATACAAGTCTCTTGGTTCTCAGAAAAGACTATCTACTGTGATGGCAGCATTTTATCTCTCAGGCCATGCCTCATTTCTGTCATCCCCATTTGTCAGGAGACACCCTCGTTAAGAGACTCCCGTTCTCTGATGGCTGCTACAACTTGCTGACAGATTAGTGAGGTAATGACCTGCTGACAGACGATGACAGATGGTCCTGGGAGCTAAAGAACGGTTAATTTCAGATACATAATCTCAGCTCTATACTGCGCTTCTTAGACCATATTAAAGTAGTCACTATACCTCAATGAAAAATTACTACAAATGTTAATTTCATTATTGACTCATTTAAGCAGGTTCTCACTAAAGAGCTCAGGCTGGCCTCAAACCCGCCATTCCCGTCCTTTAGTTACTTAAAAGGATTCTTAGTAATACTAAACAGGGCTAAACCTTTGAAAGCTGAAAAGTAACAAATCACATACTTTAGGTCACAAAAATAAAAATGTAGGCAGATGAACATGTCACACAGAAAATAATGGTTTCAAACCTTGAAAATACACACCACGGGAAACGATTTCTTACTAATTTAACACGATTTGATAACAGCATTGAAGAGGATGGTTTATTGTTGTTACTGTGTGTGTGTCTGTCTTTATCTGTCTGTGTGCATCTGCATTATATGTGTCTCTGTGTGTGCATCTGTGTTATTTATGTGTTTGTATATCTGTATTGTGTGTGTGTCTGCATCTGTCTGTGGGTATGTGTGTGCATGCATAAGTGCCGTACCCTGAGAGGCCACAAAAGGGTGACAGAGCTAGAGCTACCAGCAGTTGTGAGCCCCCTGATGTGGTGCTAGGAACTGAACTCTGATCCTTTGCGAAAGCAGTCCTCACTCTAAACTGTGGGCCATCTCTCCAGCCCCGTGAAGAGAATTTATACGGGGGTGGGGGGGGTGGGGAATTAAGTATTCCCTCCCTCACTGAATCTGATTCAAGAACACAAATATAAAAGTGCCATTTATAATTTAAATTTTGATTAGAATTACATATTTATAACACAGTTGATAAGCTATCCCATTTTATCTTTGTTTTCCAAACAAACAAAACAATGATGGTAATTTTTCTTTTTCTGAAAATATGTCTGTGAATGGTTCAGAAGTCAAAGCCACTTGGCCATGGTTTCTGGCAAAAGAAAATTTATTCTGTTTGGATTAATCTAGTCACGGTAAAGAAAAACTACTCAGCTCCATATGAAAGGAGCATGTTTCATTATAGGCACACGCAGACATGAAAATAAAAGCAACAGCAAACACTGAGTGCTCCCTGTGGGTCACGGATGTTGGGGTACGCTAATTCAACTCCTGCCACACCGGGCCTCTCATCCCCCCCCTTCTCACAGATCGCACCAAAGGTAAATACACAATCACATTTTACTTTGCTTGCTTGGTAATAAAACTGAGAGTTCTTATTAGCAAATGTCCTACACTTTAACATATGAACAGACCAAAGCAAAGGTTTTACATGTGTAAGTCTTGACAGATGATCTTTTGTATTTAGTAAGTGTATGAGCTGGAGTGAGACCGCCTGAACTCAAACCTGATATATGCTATCAGCTTGGCTTGTATTCTGAGGAACGTATTCTACTTTATAGACCCCCCTTCCTTTATAAAATGCCAGCAGATATTGTATCTACCACATAAGCCAACTATGAGAGCCACACGAACATCTTAATATCTCACCAAAACCCTTATCTAATTAGAGCACGCTCTGCAGCCTTTGTGGTCCCCACAGGGAAGAAGGTGACGTGATTCAGGGCCTCCAACAGGCACAGAGCCCTGACTGCCCATGTGACAGCTGTGGAGAGGACGCCTCTGGGGAATAATTAGGGTCACGGGGTCATAGGGGTGGACACCTTCACAGTGTAGTCAGTGCCCATATAAGGACAGAGAATTTGACTCCAGCACAGGAAGATGACCAAGAGCAAACCATTCCCCAGCATATACCACTGCCACCAACGCCATTGTCACCGCTGCTGCCACCACCACCACCACCGTCCGGGTAGGCTGCACCCCAGTTTTCTTGTTTAAGCCAATGAGTTTATGGCATTATGACATCGCACGTGGTCTCTTCGTATTGTCAGTGTGTAACTGCACGAAGGAAAACCAGTTCTAAGTTTCTATGTCAATCGCATGAAGATTCACAGTGTAGAAGGCTTTCCAAGGCTCCGGGATAGGTCAGAAACAAGCTGGGTCTGACCGAGGCTAGACTTCTGTCTACAAGGGAATTTCTTTTAAAAAACACAATATACAGGTTTTGGTTTTTTGCTTTTGAAGACAGTGACTCAAAGCAGTTCTCGTGAGTCAAGTCAGCATCAAGACAGGCAGTAGTAGCCTCAAGCCTGTAAGATACAAAGTCAAGACTCTTACCTCTTGTATCTGCCTGGAACTGTTCTTGACGGGTCCTGCAAAGGAAAAGAGGAGAAGTCAGCTGTGTGTGCGTCAGGACCCAACGACAGATCGCAGGACAACAGAAGGGCAGCTGCGGGAGAATCCTGTCGAGCAGTCACGCTTGTGCTTAGGAACTCGTCACACGGCTGATCAAACAGAAAGAACCTGAATCTAGCTTTTCAGCCCAAGACAACCATGTTTTAAATACGGAAAGATTTTGGGTGAGCCGAGCCTTTAAGGGCTAAGCCATCTCTCCAGCCCAAAATACCTTTAAAAAAATATGGGGTATAGCATGAGTATTCAAAAAAAAATTGTTAAACTTTTCCCTCCCTCCCCTTCCTTTCCTTCCTTTCTTTCCCTTCCCTCCCTCCCTCCCTCCCTCCCTCCCTCCCTCCCTCCCTCCCTCCCT